CTGACCAAGGATCTGTGAGCTGCCGTTCACTTAGAGTTTGTATACTCTTGGAAGTCAATCTTCCTGTGTGCAAGGTGCCGTGTGACCCGTCAAATTGCCGCTCTCTTGTCACTTAATGAAATGTTTTTCATCTGAGAACATTCGACGCAGCAATCAAGAACATCGCTTGATGACTTTGCCGTAGTGATGAGGCTGGTCGAAGCCCGATAGTGGAAGCATAAAGTGATTCAACGCTTAATTGGTTAAGATTATAAGGATATGGACCAGTATGCAGCGCTGATAGAACTCTCTTTAACCCTGAAAGAATTGACACCTTACTGTTACACTTGGTGACGATAAGCATTTTGCCAAAGTTGCGGTCGAGACCTTAACGTTAATTGTTAACGCAAGCAATGCGTGGTTTCGACCTTGTGCGAAAGCTGTGTGCCAGTTGAGTAATAATATATTTTGGGATGTGTACTAAACTCTCGGGTTCGAAAGTGAAGTCTGGGCGCTCAGAACTTATGCGGATATGTTGGAAGCTTGATGTTGAGCCCGGTGATAGTCTAAATTTGGTTCAGGAGCCATCTTGCCACAGGAGCAGCTCCTGAGCTTGGTGCTGAGTGAACCAAAATCACATTGTGATTGAGGTGTGGGTGTTGGGATTGTTTGCGTCGATATCGCTAAAAAATTAGCTTGTGCAAAGATCGATAGTAGAAGCGTGACCTTTGCTTTGTGCCTCGAATTCGCGCGATGTATAGAAGTAGAAGCGTGATCAAGAAGCGTAGTTGGTGCAGTTAATCTTGGTTTGTGTCGACTTGTAAAATGGTGTGTTTATCAGATGATCGGCTTGTTAAAGCCATGTGTGGATTGACGTACCATCTTGACAAATGGCTCTAACTTTGAATAGCCGTGATTACGCGATAGAATTGATAGCTTGAAATCAGCCGTGAATTCTTAGCCGTTAGCACTTGTGTATATGGCATAAAGACCAAGCGTTGAGATCTTGACCACCTTGCTTGGCGTTCGTCTTGTAGAGCCTACGCACACTGGGGCTTGGTTGTTTAAGCTGACTGTGTCGACAGCAGAACTTGGTGCTGAATTTTGAGTTCATCGCCGCCGAGACGTTGAGAGGGTAAAGCAAAATGCTCCGGTGAAAGACGACTAAAAACGTCGAGAGCTTGAAGTTTGAACATTGTCAATCAAATAGCTCGCAAATTTCATGTGTCATTATCAAAAGGTGAATAAGGATCTCACCCATAGTTACATCTTGTGGTTGACGCGAAGGATGGTAAGTTGCCCACGACTTCTCGACTGTAGACTTGTGCCGTATGTATTGCCTTGTTCAGCATGTGCGGCCTATTAGGGTGGGTTGCCCAAAGCTG